GAAAAAACATGAATAACTTTGTGTGTAGAAAGAAGAAAAAACAAACAGCTATGCTAACATCACTGAATGAATAGGTGTATTATCCGTACAAATGTTTATTCATATGAAGATATGCACATAAACCTTGCTGTGACCAGTAATTGTCAGCCTGAGAAAGTTAACAAAAGAGGCCTATGATACCGAGATACTAATTGTTCTGGCCCTTAAATGAGCTTATTCTGAGCTTATTCTGAGTATATTCTGAACATATTCCGAGTCTATTGCATGAGAGAGAAATCGCAGTGGATGGCCGAATGGTTATATTTTTTGTCTTTTTTATTTTTTTATTCGTTTTTTTTTTTTTTCTTTTTTTTTCAGAGATTTTTTTTTCAGAAAAATTTCAAAGAACTACAAGCCAAATTGGACATGTTCCTAATAATGTAAAAAGATATAAGTATTAATACATTAAATAAAACATTTTACGTTATCATGTGTTAAATCAACACAATATATCATCAATATTTACCATGGCAACTTGAACTGAAGAATCCTCTCGGTTGTTCTCCCAAATTTTATTACCAGATATACGACTAGCCAGACTTGAAGAATCAGTTGCACTTCCAACAATCAAACTAAAAGGATTCATCTTGGAAGGTAAAGTATATCTTCTAACAGGCATTTTTCTAAATTGAATTTGAGTAGAATCGGCAATAGACTCTGATGCTCGACGTTGCATATTAGGGTGCGAAGTGGGTGAATTTGTAGGTGAAGTTGTAGGTGAAGAAGTAAATGATTCACTATTTGAAATAACGGATGCAGAGTCTGATGTATCTCGGTAATTACGGCCATCTTGTTCATAACTATTATCAACCATTCCAAAACCAATTACTGCTGCAAGAGTCGAACCGAAACGCGAGGACATTAAGTTGTATGTATATATATATATTTTTTATGTAAGATGTATGTAATATGTATATGTAATATGATAATAATAATAATAGCAAATAGCGCAACTAATGTATTATGGTTCAAGAGTCAACTTGAAATAAATGTTCGAATATTAATGATGTAAAGGATTTGTTATTCGTCGAAAGCTCTCTTTTTACACGTTAAAAAAAGAGAATAAAAAAAGAGAATAAAAAAAGAGAATAAAAAAAAGAGAATAAAAAAAGAGAATGATTAAAAGTAAAAAAAAAAATAGCAATTATTAAGTAATATTATATATAAGTTTATGAAAATGAAAAGATGAAATTTTTTTTTTTTTTAAAAAAAGACGAGAAAAAATTAACGACCGTTAAGTATATAAAAAAAATAAAAAAAAAAAGATATATATATAGTTTTTTTTTATTATATATATTCTCCAACAAAAAAGCAAGAGTTAAAAAAATTTCGAAAAAGACAGGAATTGGGGGTTTATAAAGTTTACCAAACAATTTATAACAATAGTTTTGCAATAGTAAATTTATAACAATAGTTTATAATAGCTCAATATATAAATGTTTAATGAGAGATGGGCACCTATTCATTCAGTGATGTTAGCATAGCTGTTTGTTTTTTCTTCTTTCTACACACAAAGTTATTCATGTTTTTTC